CAGCCCAGATCCCGGAGCACTCGGAGGCCGCGGGGCGGCCCGCACTCTCACCTGGCTCTCTTCTTTCCAGGATTCCCTCAGCCCCACCTTTCAGAAGCTCAGAACACCCCCCAGTGCCACCAGGAGCCCAGCTTTCATCTCCTGCACAGCAGGCTTTGTTTGCGGGACTTCACAGAGATGCTAATTCCCGGACCCCAGGAATGGAGCCCTGGGAAGGGGGCACAGGGCATGGTGGGGTGAGAGGCCATGGTGGCCCCAGTTAGAGGTTCTGAGGACTGTGCCGGCTCTAGGCTGTGTGGCAGCCCTTCTGGGGAGCTGGAGTCAGCTACGGTGCCAGCACTCAAATCTGCTGATCTTATCCTGGAATTCTTAGCCTGGAAGGCAGCAAGCAGATGGCGATGGACCTGGACGCAGCCTGCATCCAGTGCGAGGTAAAGGAAGACGCCAGGGCCAGTCACGCGTGGCGGGGGCTCAGATGTGGACCCAAACAGCTCCCAGCTCTGGCCGGGAGACGGTGTGTTCAGGGAGAGGCAGGTCCGCGGCCCCTGCCAACTCTCCCGGAGGCTGGAGCCTGGAGGCCAGTCCCTCTGCAGACCAGGCCTCAGCTGCCCCTTCTCTGAAATGGGAGACTTGTTGGCCTGAAGTATCCTCATTTAACCCTTTAGGTCCCCTGCTTCAGGGGTCCTTCCAGACTTTCATTTCTTTTTAAAATTTCTTTTCTTTCCTTCTTTTTTTCCCCTTCTTTTGGTGCTGGTCCTGGGGCTTGAACTTAGCACCTGGACACTATCCCCAAGCAGCTGTGCTCAAGGCTAGTGCTCTGACACTTGAGCCCCAGCCTCACACCTGGCTTTTTGGTTAATTGGAGATAAGAGTCTCATGGACTTTTCTTCCCTGGCTTAGCCTTTCACTTCGGTAGATTAATTAAGAAGCAGTGATGATGGGGCTGGGAAGGTGGCTCAGTGGTAGAGCGCTTGCCTTGCATGCCTGAGGCCCTGGGTTCGATTCCTCAGCACCACGTAAGCAAAAAGGAAAAAAAAAGCCGGAAGTGGTGCTGTGGCTCAAGTGGTAGAACACTAGCCTTGAGCTGAAGAGCTAAGGGACAGCGCCCAGGCCCAGAGTTCAGGCCCCATAACCGGACCCCCCCTCCCCCCCCAAAAAAGAAGCAGTGATGGAAGTTCGCTTGAATGGTTTCTCCTTCCCGGAGGAATACTACAAACAAGGCTCAGATCTCCACTCTGCGATTTCCCTCTTTGTAAGAAAACATGATCCTGAAAGGCTTTTACAAGACAGGGCCAGGACTCCGTATGAACAGAACTGAGACATGCTGGCTGAAAGGGGTGGAGAGACGGAATGCCTCGGTCTCTCCTAACACAGGCTTCCGGTGGATTGCCCAGGGAAAGATGACTGTCCAAAGCTTGCTCATCTGGAAACTTCCACAAGGGCAAGTGTGTGTAGCCAACCCCAGCCCACTGAGGTGGTCCCAGGGGACAGCTGTCCCTGAGGGAAGTGCCCAGGGAGGGGCACCCTGAGGGGTGGACTTTCCCAAGGAGGTAGCTAGAGGGGAGAGCATGCCAACAAGGAGTCCGCACCACTAAGCCAGAAGAAAAGATAGGTAGCCACAGAGGCTGAGCTACAGAGACGGGACAGGGACAAGTGTTCATCGTGAAACCTCGGCCCTGGCTGCACAGCATTTCAGGATGAGGTTTACTCTTGCTCCAAGGACCTTCCTGTTTCCCGGATTCTGTACCATGGGGCCCCAGAGCCTGTGAGAAAGGTATCTCACCGCTCCAGGACTCACCCCAGGCCTCCTCGGACTCAGACGCTCACTTGGTGAGAACCTCATGATGTCCCAGGGCCCAGCCACGCCTCCCAGAGAGGCTGAAGAAGTGAAGAGGGAGCGGTCTTCTGGGTCCAGCAGAGGCATCCATTGACCTTTGCCCCTGCCACCATATGGGAAGAGAAGGGAAGAATGGGGCTGCATGCACAGGAAGGAGAGTCCCTTCTTGTCCTGAGATCTGAAATTGTTCCAGCTGTAGCCATCACAGATATCTCAGGATTGGCCCTTGAAGCCCCGTTCCTTAGAGTTTCTTCTGCTTGGCGTCTGGTCCGCAGCTCGGAGTTGTCCTTGGAAGAAAGCTCATCTCCCACATTTGGGGCTCCCAAAATCAGGGAGAGAAGAAGCCAGAGAGGTTGAATAACAAACTCTGAGATCCCATTTCTGGATTGTGTAGAAAAGTAAAAAAAAAATCATTTTTCAGGCTGTCTCTGTCTCTCTCTTTTCCGAGGTTAAGCGGCACTTTTCTACCTAGCATTTATTCTTCACAGAAATCTGCAGGAGGGCATTACTCACCTGGATGGTGTGTCATCTTTCCAGCAGCTTCTTCATCACCTCACACAGAGGTGGGCCACACACGCCTGCAATCTCTCTGAGCAGGGGATGGGGACGTGGTCTCTTGACACCATCTCAGGGGCAGGAGGCTGTCAGAAGCCCCGTCTGATCAGGCCTGGGTCGTGCGGCAGTCCTCAGCAGGGCCAGGCTGGTAGCAGGGCAGGGGCTGTGTGGCTGCGTGGCTGGGCTTCTTCTAGGCCTCTGCTTCCTGATCTGATCTCTCAGTACAGGTGGAAAACTGGTTTCAGTGCGAAAGGAACTTCAGTAAAGGCAGAAGCAATGCAGCTTGTGTCTGTGCTGACAAACATCATTTCCCTGAAATCTGGACCAACAGTAAACACTAAGCTTTGGAAGAAGAAGGCATTGATCACCTAGTTTCAGAAAATGAGGGTGATCAGCTATGATGAGACCAAATTTAGCGTGTCATTGATTGGAGAGCCTTTCTCTGTCTCCTACTTTGCTGTCAGCTTTATCTCCTTCTGGTGTGTGTGTGTGTGTGTGTGTGTGTGTGTGTCTTGGATGCTGTCCTTGAGCTTTTTCACTCAAGGCTAGCACTCTACCACTTGGGCCACAGCTCTACCTCTAGCTTTTTACTGGTTAATTGGAGATGAGTCTCATGGACTTTCTTGCTGAGACTGGCTTTGAACTGAGATCTTCAGACCTCAGCCTCCTGAGTAGCTAGGATTACAGGCATGAGCCACGGGTGGTGCCTGGCTCCCTTTCTGTTTGAGAACACAAGTGTTTTACAACATGCTATGCCAGTATTCGGGCCGTATCTCATGGCTGTCACCACGCTTCCTCTCTGTTCTCAACTTCCCTGCAGAGCCACTGAACCCACAAACAAAACAAAGTAAGAAATACCTAGAAACCTTAAGAGATCAAAGGCTTCTTAAACTTCAGCTTCTTTCTAAGTATAAAAAGATCTTGTTATGTTGAAAATTATTTGGAAACTCATTCTTCAGGATAGAACCAGTGCCATCTGCGAAATGGGCAGGAACCCCAGCTCTCTCCTTGAGAGATGCTGGGTGCTACACCTAAAAGGGGGTCATTAGCTGGACAGAAGCAGATCTGTATGTGACCTGGCCAGGTGCCTGGTCCAGAGAACGAACATGTATTGCCTAATCCAGTTTTTATACTAGTATAGCTTAGTTTTAATTGGCCAAACAGTTTGTTTCTATCTGCAAACAGGACTCAAATAGCCTTGGAGAGACTTGTGAATTCTGAGAGAGGGTACAAAACCGTTACCGAAGGTTTCAGTGTCTTGAGCATTAGCTTGAAGAGCCGCAGGCAGGGCGCCCCCTACGGACCACCTCGGGAATGGCCTCGGCCCCAGAGCCTGGGTTCCAGGGTTCTGGGGAGCAAATAGGGCGACTGGCCTCCCGGGATCAGGAGGGCTGGGGCGTCCATCATCTTCCCGCCTACGACTGGGCAAGGAAAAAACAACCCTCTCAATTTCTTCTGTTTTACAGTCTAGGCCCATGATCAACGCTGTAGTGAGACGGGAGTAAACACTGCGAGGTGCGTGCGCCTCGGCTGGGCGCCTGGTCCAAGGTGGGTGGGCGGGGCGCGGAGTGGGCGGGGCGCGGAGTGGGCGGGGCGCGGAGTGGGCGGGTTGCGGGGTGGGCGGGGCGCTTGGGCACAGTGATGGGTGGGCAGAGCACGGAGTGGGCATAGCGACTGGGGGGCACAGCGCTGGGTAGGCACAGCACAGGGCGGGCGGGGCACTTGGTGGGCACAGCTCTGGGTGATGAGTGGGCACAGCGCAGGGTGGGCACGGCGCAGGGTGGGCACGGCGCAGGGTGGGCACGGCGCAGGGTGGGCACAGCGCTGGGTGAGTGGAGTGGTGAGTGGGCACGACGCGGGGTGGACACCAGACAGTAGGCTAAGCGTTTGGGCCCCGAGTGCGCGAGTCAGCAGGCTGACAGCGTCTGACCGCCGCGCGGTGCGAAGGCGCCCCCCCCCCCCGCCCCCCGGCCCCGCCCGCGGCCCCCCACGGCGATGGGGGCGGGGACTGAGCTCCGACCTCACCCCCCCCCCCCCCCCCCCCCCCCCGTCAGGCACCGCCTTCACCTCATCTCAGATTTTGTTTAAAAGACGCACAAACTCCCGGGGCCCCCGTGTCACACCGCCGAGGCCCTTCCCGTGGGGCACAGGCCCCCGGCGCCGGTCTCGGTCTCCCGCCCCGTCCCATGTTGGGAGTTTGGGGAGGAGCGATGGAAAGCCGGCCGGGCGGGCCAGGGGGCGTGGCCACGATAGGGGCACGACCAACGGGGCGGGACCCGGGCGGGCCACGCCCACTTCCCTCCGGGCTCGCTCGAGGCCGCCCCCTGCCGGCCGCGATGGGATCGGCGGTGCGGACGGGGCCCCGCGGAGGGCGCGCCAGGCCGAGGTCTTGTGCGGAGGGTGCTCCCTCCAAGGCGCCCCGCACCCCCGCCACCCTGCACGCCCCACGGGCTGCTTTTCCACGCGCGCGCTTGTGCCCCTCCTTCCCTCCTGGCTTTTGTGTTTTGGGAAGGAACATCCCCATTTGAAGGCGGCCCAATCGCCTCGAGGGCACCGCTCACCGCGTCTCCTTTCCGCCAGCCAATAGGCCCGCGAGGAGCTCGTTTTTTTAGGGAGGGCTCGGCTCCCCCGTTTGCACGCGGGGTGGGGTGCGGGCGCGGGCCGCACGCAGGGCCGCCTCTCCGCAGGGCTCCCGCACCCAGCTCTCCCCCAGCCCCGCGGCCCGGTGGCGCGTTTGCCCCGCCGCGTCTCGAGGTGGTGGACCGGGATTCCGATCTGCGGGTCAGGGGGCGCCGTCTCATTAAAGCCGGCCCGGCCCGGCCCGCGCCGCGCACATCCAACGGCCGTATTTTTCAATTAGAGCTGACGAATTCAATCAAAATTCCATAGATTAGGATGAAATGAGGCATGGGTCATTTACAGGGGAATTTAATTGCCGAGCCATTAGACAAATAGTATATTTGCCATTCCCGCGTTATCCATCATTTTCGACATCAATGCGGGGCCGCGTCTCCCGGCCCCGCGCGGCGGCGGCGCACGCGTCCTCCCGCGTCCCGGGATGATTTCTGCGGCGCCCGCCCGGGCCGCGGGGGATTGTAAATGTTCGATCCCGCGATCGACCTCCTGAGGCCTGCCCACCGCCTTTCCACGGGAACGCGCCGCCCGCCCCGTCCTTTTGTCTCCCGACGCTCCCGCCGGGGCCCCCCCGACCGCGCTCCGAGGCCGGTGCTGCGGGCGGAGGGGAGTTCAGCCCGGTCCCCGACCCGAGCGGGGCCCGCGGGGGGCGGGGAGAGGGCGCTCTCCGCCCCGGTGCCCGGGCCACCGGGTTCCCCCTCACCACCACCCTGCCCCACTCCCGGGCCTCCCGGCGCCCCGAGGCCCGGCCTTTGCGCGGTCACGGACCGCGTGCGGCAGCCGACGGGGCTGCAGGCCCCGCCGCCCCGGGCCCGGGGACTGCGGCGGAGGCGGCCCCGGCGCGGAGCTCCGACCGGAAGGCGCGGTGGAGGACGAAGGCTTCGGGACCAGGGCGCCTCAGCCCCGCGTCTCACCGCGGAGCCCCGGGGCCCGCGCGTGCCGCTCGGAGCCCGCGGCCGCGGCTTTAGGTCTGGACGGCGCGGGAACGGGGCCTGCAGTCTGCAGCAGACACGGAGAGGACGCGTGCGGGGCTCGGGCCCAGCCCGCGCGGGATCGCGGCGTCCCCGCGGCCGGGACCCGGGACCCCGCACGCGCCGGCCGGGACGCGGGTGCGCTCAAGCCCGCGCGCGCCGTCGACGCTTGGCCCGCGCTCTCCACCGTGTTCCTTGCACGACCCAGAAATGTATTGTTTGTCGTTATCGGCGTCAGTAAGCGCGGAGGGTGAGCGCCGCCCCGCGCCCTGGGCTGCCGCCGCGTGGACGTGGCGTTCGTTGGCACGCACAGGCCGGCGGGGCGCGCGGGTGGCCGCCGCGGGAGGGCGCGGGCGGCTCGCCATCCGGGCTCCAGTCTCTGCGTTCTGTTTACGCCCTGGCCGCTCCATTCTCCACTGCTCGCGGGAGTCACAGTTCTCGGGCGCTCAGCTCACCGGGCGCCTCGGACGGGCGCCGCCCGCTCCCCCGCGCGGCCGGCCCGCCCAGGCCCCGGCCCTGGCCCGAGACGCCCGCCCGGGGCGACACCTGCAGGCCGGCGCGGGAAGGGCTCCCGCCTCCTCCGCGGACTCGGGTCTCCTCACGCTTATCTTCAACCAAGTGGATAAAACTGAGGTGTGCGCGCGTGCGTCTCTGTGTGTGTGTACGTGCGTGTGCTGGTCCTGAGGCCGGAACTCCGGGCGCGCGTCCTTGAGCTTCTTTCAGGGCCGGCTTGAGCCAGGCTCCACTTCCAGTTGGATGGTACATTGGAGATGAGTCGCATGGACTTTTCTGCCCGGGCTGGCTTCGAACCCTGATCCTCAGACCTCAGCCTCCTGAATTAAATTACAGGTGTGAGCCACTAGTACTTAGATTATTATTATTATTAATAACAACAATAATTTGTTGTGCAGGTCCTGGGATTTAAACTCAGGGCCTGGGCACTGTCCCTAAGCTTCTTTTGCTCAAGATCCGTGCTCAAGCACTTGAGTCCCTTCTCCATTTCCAGCTTTTTCTTAGTAGTTTATTGGACGGAATTTTTCTGGCTTTGAAATATGATCCTCAGATCTCAGCCTCCTGAAAAGCTAGCATTACCTGTGAGCCACCAGTGCCAGACTTGAATGATTAATTTTGATAGAAAGAACTTAATAAATTCAAGAAAAATCCTGGGACTTTATTTTGATGCTGCCAAACTATGCTTAAATCCAAGAAATAAGATGTAGCATTAACCGTAGTGTATGGTTGAAACAATGGTGCTTCTCAAAATCCCTTCTGTAGAAAACTTTACTAAAGGAATAATTTATCCTTGAAATCATGAAACAAAAGATACAGTCCTTGGTTTATCCTTTCGTCTTGGGCAGTTCTTCAGAGCTCATGATTATAGTCCTAGACACTTTAGAGGCTGAGAATGGGAAGATCACAGTTTAAGGCCAGCCTGGGCAAGAAGTTGGTGAGACTTGATCTCAACCAATAAAACTGGTGTGTTGCTGAGCGATAGTGGCTCATGCCTGTAATTTTAGTTACCCAGGAGGCTGAGATCTGAGGATCACAGTCCATGAGACTCTTATTTCCAATTAATCACAGAACAAACTAGAACTGGTACTCTGGCTCAAGTGGTAGGGTGCTAGCTTTGAGTAAAAGGAGCTCAACACCCGGGCCCAGCGGGCCCAGCGTTCAAGCCCCAGGACCAGCAAAACAACAAAGCAACTCCTCCTCCCCCTAAAAAAACTGGCCTGTCATGGTGTCAGCCTGTTGGCCCAGCTGTGTGGGAAGTGAGGATAGGAGGACTGCTGTCCAGGCTTGCCTGGGCCAACGTGAAGCCCCATTAAAAAGATAACTACAGCAAAAAGGATATGGGGTGTGGCTTAAGTGGTAGAGTGCCTGCCCAGAAAGCAAAAGGTCTTGAGTTCAAACCTCAGTACCACCAAGAAAAACCACCAAAAAAAAGATGACAAGCACTAAACATCAGAAATGTAGTGTTTGTGTGTCTCCATGGGCACACAGGCGGCCAGGTGCTCTGGTAAACCAGCTCAACCCGAAGCCTGTATGTCACACCATTCTTCAGATCTGTTCAGGTTCCCCAGCCTGCCCTGTCAGGGTACGTCTGTTTCAGAGACTGGGAATTTGATGGTTATATACTGAGCTGAGCATTCTTCTTACACCTACAGAGCCAATGGCTCTGATTTTCTGCAAAACATGCCGAATCCATGATTATTGAGTAGCTTCACGTTAAATGGACAGATATGCTGCCAGCCAGGCCCTGTGCTCTATCCAGAATAGCGAACCTAATAGGTCACATGGTGCCCACCACATGCTGACTGGCCACGGGCGTGGTCTGTGGCCTCTGCTCTCAGAGCCAGGTGGACACTTCTTCCTGCCCCAGGATGGCTGCAGTAGCAGACGCCACCACGCCCCCCGCCCCCAGGGTCAGTGGAGACAGAATTCTCAGTCATGTGACAACTAATCAAAGACACTAGAGGAAAAGAAGAGCAAAGATGTGCCTTTGCTAGCTCCCCCCGCCCCACTTATTTTATTAGAAACAACAGGTAGAAGTGCCGCTTACTCTTTGTTTCCATATGAATTAGTATTGTTACTATAATCATTCTTGGGCTGGTACTAGAGATTGGGCTCAGGTCCTTATACTCTTTACCTGGCTCATTTGCTCAAAGCTGGTGTTCTACCACTTGAGCCACAGCTCTACTTCCAGCTTTTTGCTGGTTAATTGGAGATAAAAGTCTCTTGGATTTGTCTACCTGGGCTGGCTTTGAAACTGGATCCTCAGATCTCAGTTGCTTGAGTAGCTAGGATGTTAGATGTAGCCACTAGTGTCTGACCAGCAGAACATTTCTTTTTGTCACTGTTTTTTTGTTTGCAGATTGCTAGCAGTAATTACATTCTGCAAAACTCTGAGTGGATTGCATCTCGTTGGATTATTATCACCAAACAACCTATCCGCCATTTTGTTTCCTGTAGCCATGGCTACAATTCAGAAATGGCATCGACAAACTCCAGCCTCTAGGACCTGGGAGAGGTGCAGCTGTTTTTTTGGTCATTTCCTCTCGCAGCTGTGACCTCACACTCCGGGAGGTCATATATCTTGAGGGTGAGTTCACTGTCAAACCACCTTCAAACTACCCAAGCCCTGAGCCGTGAGCTGGTTTTTCCTGCATCATTCTTCACAACAGCTGAGAGGTGGAGCTCCCAGCCACCCCCCATGGCTAGATGGATGTGGTCTACGTGCTGGAATATAGTCAGCTTCCTGGCAGGCACTGGTGATCCTAGCCACTTCGGAGGCTGAGATCTGGAGGATATCAGTTTGAGGCCAAGCCTTGGCAGAAAAAAGTCTGTGAGAATCCATCTCCAAAATAAATGGCACAGAGCAGAGCTGGAGGCATGGCTCCAGTGGTGGCAGAGCGCCATCCAAGCCAGCAAGAGCTAGAGTGAGGCCCTGAGTCCAAATCCCAGTGGTGCCGGGGGGGGGGGGGGGGGGGGGGGAGGGGGGGGAATCCTGTCAAATCCCAGTGGTGGTGGGGGGATCCTGTCAAATCCCAGTGGTGTGTGGGGGGAGGATCCTGTCAAATCCCAGTGGTGCCAGAGGGGGGGGGGGGATCCTGTACATAGATTTTGAAGACATTATGGCCAGAAAACAAGCCAGCCACAACTGTGCCCCTTTGTTCTTTTGTGACTGGCTTAACTGGCAGACAGGGAATTATTTGATGGGCAGAAGTCTGCTTGCTTCTGTAATAAAAAAACCTTTTTGCCAGTCGTAGGGCTGGAACTCTGGGCCTGGGTGCCGTCCCCGAGCTCCCTTTTTGCAGTGCCACTTCTGGCTTTTTGGTGGTTCATTAGAGATAAACATTTCATGGTTTTTCATGCCTGGGTGCTTCAAGCCATGATCCTCAGAGTAGCTAGGACTACGGGCATATGTTGCCAGTGCCAGGTGTCCATTATCTTGAGCTGTCTGTCTGTCTGAGGTGTCATCCACAGAGGGCAGGCTGGGCAGTCTAGACAGAGCCGGAACCCGTGGATTCAGGTGGCTCCTGCCTGGGCCTCACATTTCTAGACGCGGGGTACAGAGCCCCAATGCTCCTCAGGCCAGCGTGGAACGGCTGTTCGCTTCTCTAAGTCTGCAGTCACCCCCTGGTGCCCATGGGGGGCAGTTCCAGGACCCTCAGGACACCAAACACTATAGGTGTTCAAGCAATGTCCTAGTGTTTGCCTGTGACCTTCACGTACACTGCCTAACACAGCATCAGTGCCACTGCTATGCCAATGAATGACAGGGAGGAAAAGTCTGTCCATGTTGGGAGGTAGGACTGCACCTCCAGCCGGCGCTGGAGGCTCACGCCAGTCATCCTAGCCACTCAGGAGGCTGAGACCTGAGGATTGTGGTTCAGAGCCAGCCTGGGCAGGAAAGTCTGGGAGATTCTTCTCTCCAATTAATCACCAGAAAACTGGAAGTGGCGCTGTGCCTCAAGTGGGAGAGCGCTCACCTTGAGCCAAGGACAGTGCCCAGGCCCAGAGTTCAAGCCCCACGACCAGGAAAAATAAAAAAGAAGACTACACTTCTGCAAGTGTTTCATTTTTTAATTTAATGTTTTAGAGATGGAGTCTAGTTCTGTAGCGGAGGTTGGTCCTCCTGCGCCAGCCTTCCAAGTGCTGGGGTGGCAGGTGTGTGCTGCCACGCCCAGCCTCCTGGTGCTTTTCCTCTGTGGTTGGTTGGCTCCGCAGGTGCAGAGTCACAGACGCGGGAGGTGACAATGCCCTGGCCGGTGGCTGTGTGGCCATGGTACCTCCTGAAGAGGGCAGCTGTGTGCAGTGCACCCTGTCTTCCTTCTTTTTCTCAAGTGCCCTGCTTTCTGGAAGTCAGTGCAAAATTCCACACGAACAAGCCGAGCTGTGTAGAATGGGGAGAGTGGCTGCCCCGCGCCTGGCCAGCTGCCCGCTCACCTGGTCAGGGGTCGGCTCCCTCCATGACTCGGACACACGGAGCTGAGCATAGGAGCTGAAAAGAACCTCAGTGATGGCGGGGACCAGGGCGCAGGTCCTCAGCATCGGGCTGAGGTTAGCTGGTTTGGGATTCAGGTGGAGGAGAGTGGGCCCAGGACACACAGAGGAGAACACCACCTCCACCGGGTCCCTGGCTCCGAGGACCTGGCTGCCTTCAGCAGAGCCCCACCCTTGTCCTCTGATGGCTGCCCTGCTGCCCACGGGAGGCTGGCATAGGCCTGAGCCCTCACAGTGTGTGTGCTGGGACCAGGGACTGAAACTTCCTCAGCTTTGTTGCTCATGGCTGGTGCTCTACCACTTGATCCTTGCCTCCAGCTCTGCTTTTGCTGGTTAATTGGAGATGGAGTCTCATGGACTTTTCTTCCTGGGTTGGCTTCAAATGGAAATCTGGATCTCAGATTCCTGAGTAGCCAGGATCAAAGACATGAGCCACTGGCTCTTTTTGCTCTTAAAAAATAAACTTTTAGGGGGCTGGGAAGGTGGCTCAGTGGTAGAGCACTTGCCTTGCATGCCTGAGGCCCTGGGTTTGAGTCCTCAGCACCACATAAGCAAAAAAGAAAAAAGCCAGAAGTGGCGCTGTGGCTCAAGTGGTAGAGCGCTAGCCTTGAGCTGAAGAGCTGAGGGACAGCGCCCAGGCCCAGAGTTCAGGCCCCATGACCGGACCCTCCCAAAAAAACTTTTAAACCATGGAGATGTTTGAACAAACATAAAAGATCAAGCAAAATTATAAGCTCCTAAATACTCACCACCAGCCAAGGCCACTCTCAATATTATTGTAAAATAAATTCCACGTATCCTGTGATTTTGCTGGAATGACTCCAGCATTTCCTTTAAAGGACGGGAGGTTGGCCCAAGTGGCAGAGTGCTAGCCTTGAGAGAACCAGCTAAACGTGAGCTTGAGGCCCTCCGTTCAAGTCTCAGTACCGGCACAGAAGAAAGAAAAACACAAAAGAAAGCAAAAACCAAAAGAGAGCTGGGGCACTGGTAGCTCAGGCCTGTAACCCTTGCTATTCAGAAGCCTGAGATCAGAAGATGACAGTTCAAACCCAGCCCAGCCAAGAAAGTCTGAGATTCTTATCTCCCATAAACTACCAAAAAGCCACAAGTGGAACTGTGGCTCAAGTGGTTGAACACTAGCTGTAGGCAAAAAAAAAGCCCAGGAACAGCACCCAGGCTCTGGGTTCAAGCCCTAAAACTGGCACAAAAAAAGGAAGAAAGGAAGGAAGGCAGGCAAGCAGGCTGATTTCCCATTATTGACCCAGTTTTGATTTGTAAAACAGATCCTATTTGGATATGCACTGTATTAAGCTACCATTATCTCTACTAGGTATTTTGCTTACTACATTCATATTATATAATTGGCGCATATAATATACATGCTAGATGTTATAGTTCAGATGTTTGCATCTTCATAACTTGTTTTGCTTTATTGTCTTATTTTTTGGATTTATGTTCACTTAGTAGAAATGAGAAAACATAAATCTCTTCACCACTTGGCAGGCTGCAGAAAGTAGACGACTACCGACCATAAGAAAGCATGCAACATTTCCTTTTGGCGCCAGGGATGGACCCTCGTCCACAACCGAGCTCCCATCTATCACAGCAAACATTTCATATCCTCAGCTTCCCCACTGCTACCAGCGTAAGTTTTCTGGAATAAAAGTCATCTGCCTTTCCTGGGAGCGTTTATTGATGTAGGGAGTGTCGAGCCGGTACAGGGGCCTGGGAGAGGCAAGGGCGAGCTCAGGACCCAGAGCTGGGAAGCAGAGCTTATCTGGGCCTCCAGGTGAACCAGGTGGGCTGTCTTTCTAGAAGCAGTGGTCCATGAAGACCCACCTCTGTCCTAAAGCAGACAGCACACATCTTCATCCTGAGGGGGTTATCCATTACTAGACTGGAAAGATGGGGGGGGGGGCAGGCCAGGGGCCCTGCAGGTCACAGTGTATCCCCAGGGAGCAGTCCTTTTCTGCTGTGGCTAGTGATAAACACTCTTCCCTCATTTAGGATCCACCATAATTCTATTTTTGCTGTTTTTCCTCAGTCCTGTTGGTGTCTGATTTATTCCATTTTATTTTCTGGCTTCACTGGGGTTTAAACTCAGGGCTTCATGTTCTTAGGCAGGTGCTCTCTCACTTGAGCCACGCTCTTGGCCTGTTTTCGCTTTAGTTATTTTTGGGACAGTGTTTCGTATTTTTGCCTGATTCAGTCTAAACCAGGATCCTCCTATTTGAAATTCCTGCGTAGCTGGGATGACAGGTATGAACTACTACCTCGGCTTTTTCTGTGGAGACAGGCATCTCAGCCTTCCGAGTGACCGGGGTTACAGGCATGAGCCACTGTGCTCTGCTACATTAAATTTTTTCAAGAAATTCACCATCGGATCGTTTCCCTTCTGAACTATTCTAATCTACTCACGTTTGCTTGACAAGATTAATTCCCTTCTTGCATCTCCTCAAGTATGCCCTGTTTCTCCTCCCCCTTTCCTTCCTCCTTTTGAACGTGGCCTTCTGGCTTGCTTAGTCCTTGAGCCACACTCGGCCCTTTTGCTTGTTCTTCCGATAGGGTCACTACCTCATGCCCAGTCTGGCCTTGGACTGCAATCCCACTTCTTCTGCCGCTCTACTTAGAAGCTGGGGTCACAGGGGTGTGTTACCACTCTGGGCCCCAAAGTCATTGTTTACGTGGCAGCAGGAGGGATCTTACAAAGCAGCAGTTGGCGGCCGTTCCTCCACAGAAGCATCGCCAATGACCAGAGGCACCTAGTGGCCTTCATGTCCCCTCTGTCTGAGCACTGACCTTGGCCATCTTTGAGCTCACCTCCTGCTGCGGCCCCACTCCATCTCTCCACCTTGTGCCACTCCGGTCCCCTGTTGTTCTACCTGTCAGTCAGGCTTGCCAAAAATCCCGTGAAACTGGGATCCTACGGGAGGACCAGCCCAGATCTGACCACTGAAGACTTATCTATGTGGGGGTGGGGAGGGCATTCCATCTAGGAACAGCATGGGCAAATGTCCTGGGGCTGAACAAGGTCTGCCATGTGCGTGGTCCCAGTAGCTGGAGGGGAAGCAGCAAGAGGGAGCTAGTGGGGGCTGGACAGAGAGGAGGGGCCTTGCTGAGGGCTTCAGCCTCTGCCTTAAGAACAATGGAAATGGGGGGGGGAGGCTGGGAAGGGATGTGAAGGGTAAACAAAGGAGGAGACTGCAATGCTTGATAAGAAATGTACACATTATCCTGCCCATGTAATTGTAACCCCTCTGTACCGTATGTTCACAAAAAAATAAAATTAAATTAAAACAAAACAAACAAACAAAAAGTCATGTGTCAGGCCTAAAAAACAAGTAGTCTAAATCAATGTGGACCCAAAATAAATCCTAGAGGAGTTTTTTGACAAAAAAAAAAAAAAGAACAATGGAAATGCCTTTCATCATTTTAAATAAAGATGACATAAAGGGAAGTTGTGCTTTTGAAATTATTTCTCTGCTTGAGTGCAAACAAGACGCTAGACTAGAGCTGAGGGAGTGTCACAGGCTCTTCTGGACAATGGGCTTAGGAAGCCTGAAGAGTCAGGATGGAGGTAGGCAGGGAGAAGACAGATTCTAGAAACATCTACAGATCCCCAGTCCTGGCCAGCACCGTCAGTGCTGGGAACAGAGATCTCGTTTCCCATTTTCTCATTTCCTCAGTGCAGAATAGGCCACGGGTCCCAATTCCACAGGATTTTAGCGGGAGAGTCCTGGGGTGGCTGTGGACAAAACCCAGGCTGCATGTCCCAGGGCACGGGCCGTGGGCAGGGGGAGGGAGGCTGGGAGGGTCCTCCAGCGAGCGGCCTCTGGTTCTGTCTCCATCTACACAGAGCCCGTGTGATTTCCCCTTCATTTTCTTTCCGCCGCCTCATTAGCGAGGCGCGCTAATGGCAGGACATGGGTTCCGTGGTGGCGCCGGGCGGCCAGGAGGCGGCCGGGGTGTTTCAGCTGTGTTGGCGTAGAAATAATGAAGGCAGCCAGCTGCCTGGCAAGCGCGAGGGCACGGCGCTGGGGGCTGCGGAGCCCCAGAGAGGTGGAACCGAGGAGAGACAGAAAATGAATTCCCACCGACAGGCAATAAGACGCTGTCACAGTCCGTGCCCCGGAGGCGGGATGCTGGGGTGAGCTCCTTCCGGGCGGGGGCACATCTGTCTGGCACACCCGCCCTGAAGCCATTCTGCATTTCCTCAGGAAATGACAGGGCCAGCCCAGGGTTGGCAAGGCGTGAGGCGCAGGGGGGCAGGATGCCCTCGGTGAAGCCAGGCTCACCTGTGGCCAGGGCAAGCGGGTCTTAATGCACAGAAAGCCCACACGAGCGGGCCGTGTGCACGGAAATACCCATGGTGGAGTGTGCAAAGAGCAAACAGGGAGCGTGGTGACACATGACGCACACCTGTAATCCCAGCACTCAGGAGCGGGAGGCAGGAGGGAGAAGAGCTCCAGGCCAGCCTGGGCTAGGTGGCAAACCCTGTGTGGAAATGCTGAACGAAAGAAAGAAGGAAAGAAAGAGAGAGAGAGAGAGAGAAAGGCAAAGTGGAGAAGAACTATGTAAGATAGCTTGAAACAACGACCCTTGGGGTGAACACGCAGGTGACATCAGCCGGGAGCTGAAGTGATCCTTGCTACAGAATGTCTTCTGTATACAGTTGTATACAACTTCGGCTTCAGCTTCTGGTTGGGAAGACTCAACTCCGTTCTGATTCTGATACGATTCTGATTCATGTTCACGGAGAAAACAGGCAGGGTGGGAGGCAGGGTCGGAGGTGGCTGCAGTCAGGGCTGGTGACCTCTGGGCAAAGATGGATAAGTGCGCTCTCTCTCTTCCTTCCCTCCCTTTCGGTGCTAAATGCAGGGGCTGGTGCTGTCCCTGAGCTTTCATGCTCGTGGCTGGAATGCTTCCTCTTGAGCCACAGCTCTGCTTCTGCCCTTCCCGCTGGTTGGCATTGCACATCAGAATCTCATGGACCTTCCTGTCTGGGCTGGCTTTGAACCTTGATCCTTAGATCTCGGCCTCCTGAGCAGCTAGGACGACAGGCGGGAGCCACTGGGTGCTTTCAAGGCGAGGTGGCCGTCGGCTTCCCGTGCTCTCTCTGGTGGTGGGCTTGTCCCATTCACCAGCCAGGCTGGCCCGCGGGGGTTGCGTGTGTGCGCGCATCCCCATTTTAACCCAGCAAGCAGTTCCTGAGAACGTGTGTTGAAGAGGTGAGCAGGCACTTCCGGTGCCCCTGGAAGAGGGCCCAGCTCAGCGGGGCTCTGGGCAGGTTTTTCCCGCCAGCCTGGGTGGGTCTGAGTGAAGAGTTGATGACACCAGTGGGTGCCCAGCAAGCGGGTGCGGCTCAGCGCTGCACCCCACACAAAAAGCAGGTCCAGGAAACAGCACAAGGTGGGGCGTCAGGGCTGGAGGGGCCTGGGGCCGGGACCTCACCAGAGGAATGCAAATAGAGTGTGCAGGGGTGAAGGGTGGGTGCTATGGACGGACAATTCCAGCCCTGAGTGTGTTTGTGTGTGGGGGGGGGGTCCCAAGTAAACATGCAGAGGCAGGGAGTGGTGCTTGGCCCGGGCAGGGCTCAGGGTCTCCCAGCCTTGTGGCGCCCACATTCTGGGGTAGGGAGAACGAACCAGAAATGTGCTCTTCAAAGATATGGAGGGCACACACGAAGAAGTGTTTCCCTGGAGAATCTGCATGGTTCATCACTGGCTCAATGACTCCCTCTTCCAGCCATGGAGGAAGAGATCAGACTGAGCAGGAAGCTGTGGATTCCAGCCGCGAGGTCAGCTGGTGGCAGGGCTGGACTCACTGTGGTGCTCCTCCCACCCCGAGACCGCACTGCCCAGGCCTGAACCTGTCTGTCCTGACAGCTTCTGGAATTGGACTCGGGGCCTCAGCCTCCGAGGCACACTAGTGGCCAGCTGGGCAGAAAGGCTTGGCACTGCCTGCAGGTGGCTTCCAAGCCTGACACTGTGCCGGCAGACTGTGAGCGGTGGAGCTGGTGATGGCTCCTTTGTCTGGGCTGGGGGAGCTGTGATTCATGTCACGGGCTCGCTGGGAGACCTTTTTTCTCAATACGTCTGAGCTCCAGGGGTGTCTCTCCACATCTGCTTGCAGATGGGCTGCTGTGTGCTGCGACGGTCCTGGTGGCTGGAGCTCCACTGGCTCTGGTGCCTGCAGCCTGTCTGGCTGCGTTTCGGGCTGGCCCCCCCAGGCGGCCGGGCCCGGCTTGTTCTTAGCCCCTCACCTCCTGTGTGGTTGAGCAAGCAGCCTGGGGGTCCCCAGTGGTTTTTTTCTCGTTGCTGGAGACTAGGTGGGAATGTCATAGGCATGTCTAATTGGGTTTGGAGGATTTTCCCTGGGTGTCGCTCCCCGCCTCGGCTCCTGGTCAGGCGCGAGGGCGCCCCTAGAGGTGGGGGGTGTCAGTGCGAGGCAGTCACTGTCCAGAGACAGAACCCAAGTCATTGCGATTACTTACATTCCCTCCACAAATTTCTACTAAAGGTGAGAAGGGCACAGTAGCCAATGATCTCTGGTGAAAGCCGGAAGATGTTAGGATGTCTCAAAGAATCACCGCAACCTTCAGGGGTCAATGTTCCGTGTGGCCTTGCTGTGACGCCCTCCTCCACTAATCCACTCACTTAGAGCTGCTGAAGCCCTAGAGGGCACTCTATGCCTTGTCCCTCATCTCAAGGTCCGGCAGACAGATACCAGGCCCCAGGGATGAGGCCCGTGGGGGGCCTCTATTAACGTGACACGGAGGTCACCCTAACGAAGGGCTGTTTCCAGTCACTACTTCAAGAGGCGAACTCTGTGTGTGTTTGTGTGCTGGAGCTGAGGCTTGAACTCAGGGCCTCACTCTCCCACTTGCTGGCTCATGGCAGGCACTCTACCACTTGAGACACAGCTCTACCTCCAACTTTTTGCTCATTTATCAGAGATAAAAGTCTGACAGACTTTCTTGTCTGGGTTGGCTTTAAGCCAAAATCCTCAGATCTCACCCTCCTGAGTAGCTAGGATTACAGGCCTGAGCCACTGGTGCCTGCCTCTTTTATATTCTTAAAAGAAACCACCTCTGATATATATTTTCCACTTGAACTCATCCTGTTGTGTGAAGCCTACCTCCCTCTCTGCTCTTCGTGTGCAGAGGTGGCTGAAATGTGCATCCTGGTGTAATGCCGACACAGAAGGGTGGACCAAGCCTGCTAGTAATGAGAATTTGGAGGTCATGCAGGAATAAAGGAGGTGACTCTTGGGGATGAAGAAGGCTGGTGTCTCCCCCTTTCTGGGGTGAAAGCGGGGTCCTTGTAGAGTGTCACGGAAGAGCCACGAGGGACACAGTCAGAAAAGAGTCATCGTGTTGGGCTGACATGAAATGCCTTGCCTTTTCTAGACATTTGACCCTGACTGCATTTGAGAGGAGCGTGTGACTCTCACTAGTTCAGACCATCTAGAACTCTGTTCCACCGGACAACAGCTTCTCAGAGCTTGTTCAAAACTTCCTATGTCAAGATTATTGGTTTTCTTGGGGGGAGGGGGAACACGACTGGTGTGTACTGGATGACAACGGCAGGTTTTAAAATTAAAACATTGAAGTTTTACCCCTAAGGGAATGGTTTTCTTTAACCAAATCTTTTTTTTTGGGGGGGGGGGAGGACGGAAACTTCTTAATCCAAGCAACATCTGGGGGACACATTTCTTCTAGAAACTTTTTCAGCCTTTCGGGTATATATTTTTTCTAATGGGAAATCCTTATTCTCCATCACGACTCTTTCAGGTTAGATCTGCCAGACGGGTGGAAAGGTAGCGAGCGAGGGGCTCAGAGTCAAGCTTGCAGCGGGGTTCCCCTGGCGGGGCAGGGGCAGGGCGGGGTCAGGGGTCAGGGCACCTGCCGCGCCCCCCCCCCCCCCACGGCAGTGCCAGTGAGGGCCGCGGCCGGGACTTGCACACGCGCGAAGTGGCGGTTTCCTTCCGGACCAAAGGCCGGGTGGGAGGCCCTGGGTTGCTTCCGGTGGTGGTGCGGCGGAAGTCACCCCACCCGAGGAGGGGAGGGTCTCCAGGCAGGAAGGGCACGCGCACGGGGCGCGGGGCCTCTCCAGCGGGCCCGCGGGCAGGGCGGGGTCTGGACGGCTGCCACGGCACCCGGGCCGGGCGCGCCCCCACGGCCGCCCAGGCCTCGGTCCTCAACGCGGGCGTCTGAGGACCAGCGGCCTGGGGGCCCGCGGGGAAAGTGTCCGAGCGCAGGGCCGCCCGCCCCCAGGGTCTGCCCCGGGGTGCCTGGACCCGAGCTCCGCGGGGAGCTGCCCGGCCCCCGGGGCGCGTGCTTACCTCAGGGAGGGCGTCGGGCCTCACGGCGCGACGGCAGGCTGAGCGGCGCCTGCGCCGTGCGCTGCGGCGCGGCCACGAGCGCGCAGGCGACCGTCCGCAGCGCGCGGGCCCGCGGCGCGAGGCCCCCCCCCTCGCCCCGCCCCCGCGTCATCGAGCGCGCGCACGTCGGCGCCGTGCCGCTGCGGGAGGCCCGCCAGGGCCCGTGGTGCGCGCGCGCCCGCCGCAGCGCGCACAGCCGCCGGCCGCGCGCACGCTCGTCGGGCCCGCGGGGCGCGCCGCACGCCGCGCTCAGCGCCGTCTCGCCTCGGTGGCTCCTCGCGTGCGCGCGCGTGTGCGCTCGTCGAGCCCGCGCCGCGCGGCCCCGTGCAGCGGCGTGTCCCCGCCCGCGCCGCCCGCGCCGCCCGCCGGAGGAGGGCGGTGTGAAGCCGGTCCCGGTCCCGGGCTGGGAAGCCGGCGAATTAGCCGTCCAAACTGGAGGCGGAGCTGTGGCCCAAGGGGTAGAGCGCCCAGCCTGGAGCAAAAAACAAAGTTGAGGGACGGCGCAGGCCCCGCGGTCAACCCAGGACCGGCGCCCCGGTGCCCCGGAACCGTCCTGCGGCCGCCACGTTGTCTGTCCGGAGGACACTGCCTGGGTTGGGGCGCGGGTGGGGGCTCGAGGTCTGGGCACTGCATCCGGGGTATCCTGCGTGTGTGTGTGTGTACGCGCGCGCGCGCGTGGGGGGGGGTCAGGCTCTTCTCAGGGGGCCTGCACTTCCCCCGGAAAAGGCTGGCTTCCGGGAAGCTGGCGGCGGCCTCCCCTGGCTCCAGCCGGGCCACCGGAGCTGGGGCCTGGTCCCGATCGGACGTCCAGCTGTCTCCCGGAGACCAGGGCTGGGTGTCCACCTGCCACCTGCGGGTCCACCACGGGATCCGAGGCTACCCTGAACCCCAGGCCCCGGCGTCTCCCCGGGAAACACGTCCTCGGCCGGTCCGGAGCCCAGCCAGCGCCACATCTGGCCCTGGAGGGTGGGGTGGGCCTCTTAGCCCGGCCCGTGGTGGGAGATCCAGCCCGCAGCCTGCGAGCCCGTGTGGAGGCCCCAGGCCCGCCAGGGACCGGCCTTGCGGGGTGCAGACCTCCGGCCCGCTCTCCTCCCCTCCTGCCCCTTCCAGAGTGGGCTCCTGGGTCTCCCTCGCCCGCCTGCCTCCTGCAGAGGAGTCTGTCTGCACCTGTGGGAAGCCATGCCGCTCCATCTCCCCTGTGTTTAACCACGGGGAGCCCAGGCCTTCCCCCACACTGCCCTTGGCCTGTCCTCTGTCCTCCTGTCTCTCATTGTTAGCGAAATGAGCTCCCTTCCCACAGCTTAGTCCACCCCTTCCCCTCTCCACAGTGGGGCATGCTCCCTTCCTAGGCAAATCCAGAACCATGTAGTAAAGGTAGTAAATAATCAGCCTCCAACCCCTCTACCTTGGGATGGCACTTCTCTGGAGCAGCTACCACCATAGAAGGCAGCAAGAGCCCCTTAGAGTGACCTTCAGGTCTGGGCAGCTGCAGAGCCCCTGATCTACTACATGGACAGCAGCCATCAATGCTAGTTCACCATGATGAAGCCCCTGGCCCACACATCCACACCGGGGTCTCCACCTCCTAGCCCCTTCCAGCCCCTCCTCAGCCTCCTAGGTTATATAGGTCACCCCAGACAATAGCCAGTGCTTCTTTTCATTCCTCCCTTGTGAGAAGGGGTCTTGCTGGTCCCCTTTCCCTCAGCAGTAAACCTTTCTTTGTTCTCTGTCTGGATGTCTGCGTGGTTCTCTGGCAAAGTCTAATTAATCTTAATTTGCTATTACTCATCCCCTGCCACAAGGACTCAGAGGGGACCCAGGGGAACTTCTGGCCTCCTTGGTGCTGTCTTTAGTTTGGGGGGCAGCACTGGTGCTCACTTGGCTTGCTTGCTTGGCTGGCATTCTACCAACTGATCCATTCCTCCAGTCTAGCATTTGCTAGTGATTTTGGCAATGGCATCTCTTGGGCTTCTCTGCTCTGGTTGGCCTCAAACCTTGATCCTCAGATCTCAGCCTTGTGAGTAGCTGCAATGGCAGGGGTGAGCAGCCAGCTCCAGGGGTGCCATCTCTTTAACCATCATGTAATGGCTTCCTTCTTTCATTCCCATGGTCATGGGTCTCTTGAGAAGCCAGGTGGTTTCTTGTTTGAGTGCTCATAAGCCCCTGATTTATCCACGGTTCCCCTCAGCGAGGCCCACACCACCCAGAAAGATCCCCTCCAGTGTGAACCAGCCAACCAAGTCTGCTTTAAAGCTAACAACGCCTCCCACTGCCTGCCCCTTTCCCAGGACACAGGGGAGGGCGTTAGGGAGGAGGGGAGGGCCTATGGTCTTCACCTGCCAAGGCTCCACTGAGGGCCTTTGCTCTACCTGGCCAGGTGTGGTTCCAAGCAGTCCACATGCCATGGTGTGTGTGTGTGCCTGCCTCTTGCACCTCCCTCTGCCTTTCCTACCTGTCCTTCTGCTTCCTCCCTCCGTCCTTCCTGCTGGTCCTTCTGCTTTCTCCTTCCGTCCTTGCTGATCCTTCTGCTTCTTCCCGCAGCCTTTCCAGGGCCCCAGGCGGAGCAGCCTCACCTCTGGGTTGCCCTGGCCTGTCTGGCAGTGTCCAGTCAGAACTCTTGGCACGCCATACACGCTTACATTGACACTTTTAATTCTCCTATTGCTTCTTGAGCATAGAAATGGAGGCTTTCCTGTGTCTGGTTCTTGGGGTCTAGAGCCATGCCTGTCTCAGTGTTGGTATTCCCCAAATGTGTGTTGAACGAATGAATTTCTCAGCATGTCCCCAGATTGCTATTGGGGCTCGGGATTGTATCAGGGACCATGGAGGTTACAGAGCTGGTGGCAGCAGCCGGACATCCTTTTCTGTTTCTTCTTAGAGCCCCTCCCCCCCCCTCCTTTACCTCTGCAGTATTTAGAGAAGCGGGGCGTCATGAGCAGAAGATCTTTACACACAAGTGCAGGGTGGCATGAGAGCCTCCCGGCCGGCCTCCAGCTAAGGGAGGACAGGAATCTTACGAGTGCTTCCATGTGCTTCCGCCTGGCTCTTTGGAAGGAACTTAAAACAGTGCAGCAGGAGGCTAAAAATCAAGGGATCCACCTCATTTTTACTGCTGAGCCTCAAAAACAATGACTAAACATTCCCCCTCCCTCTTCCTCCTCCTCCTCTTCCTCCTCCTCCTCTAGTTTTAGCAGCTCATTCTCCAAAGAGTTGCAGCCACATCTTCTTTTCCCTGTCCCCAGCCTGCCGTGCTCATGGTGGGCTGCTCAGCTGTCTTTCAAGACGGAAGCACTGGTCCATCCTCCTGATGGCTGAGATGCCCTTTTTATTCTTAGTGAAGACCACTGGCTAAACTTTCATGCTTTCTTACACTGAGAAATGGCTTTCATTGTAGAATTGCAGGCAGGAGGGAAAACCAACACAGTGCTTTGGCATTGATAAGGTTCTCTGGACACCCAGGCAAACAAAGGTGTGGCCAGATGCCAGTGGCTCACACCTATAATCCTAGCTACTCAGGAGGCTGAGAGCTGAGGATCAGTTTGAAGCCAACTCAGGCAGAAAAGTCCACGGGATTCTTAGTTCCAATTAATCAACAAAAAGCCAGAAGTGGAGCTTTGGCTCAAGGGGTAGAGAACCAGGCTTGAGCCTTGAGCCTTCCTCCAGAGATGCTGAGCTCCGAGACTCTTGCACGTGACCGTCTGGGCTGAGCCCCAAGACGCTTGCGCATGAATGCATACAGAGGCAATGGCCAACATGAATGGATAACACCTCCAGGAGAAGGGGAGACTGAGAGGGACATCTGTGTGAGGTTTCCAGCACCATGGGCTCGTTTGTGGAAATAATGACCACAATGTGTTTTCTGGTGGTGGATGGCTGCAGCAGATGAGGACACCTTGGGGAAATAGATCCCAGGATGCAAATGGAACTTTAGCAGAGACACAATAGAGGGAACAAGGTTTTGGAGGTCAGCTCTGCGGCTTGTCTGCATATCCTCTACTCAACATTTGACCTTCAGGAAGCGTCACTGGTGTTCCTGTCTCCAACAAGATAGAAGAGCCTATCCCATCTCTCTTTTCCCTTGGTTTCAATGCTTTTCAAAGTAGAGCCACATTTGCTCACAGAGAGCTGCACAGGGCTTGAGAGTGCACTTGAATGGAATTTGACAAAGAGTGCACGCGTGCACAGAGGGCTGGCATGCATCACGCAGTCCGGTGGGTTAGGGTGGAGCTCTAAAGTGTCTCCCTCTCACTACCCAGCCCTCCACTCACTGCCACCCGGCCCTCACCACACGCAACCGCCGTTCTGCTTTCCCTCCCGAGTGTAGTATTGTCTTTCCTGCAGTTCTCTAAGCTTCTGTGCCAGGCTTCTTTTGCTCAACATGTTTTGATATTCATCCCCACTGCTATGAGTGTGGGAGAAGTCATTCTTGTTTGCACTGCCGAGTCACACTCAACTGCATCGACACACCCTACGAGGAAATCCAGGCTCCACTAGTCACGCACACCTGCAATCCTAGCTCCTCAGGAGGCTGAGATCCGAGGATTGCGGTCGGAAGCCAGCTTGGGCAGGAAGCTCAGGGAGACTCTTATCTCCAAGTAAACAGCAAAAACCCAGTGTGGAGCTGTGGCTCAAGTGGTAAAATGCCAGCCGCAAGTGAAAAAGCCAAGTGAGTGTGCAAGGCTCTGAGCTGAAGCCCCAGCACTACTGATAGATAGCACGGAGGTTGGAGTGTCCTGCTTTTTGTATTGAACTCAGGGCCTGGGTGTTGTCCCTGAGATTTTTTGCCCAAGTATCACTCTGCACTTGAGCCGCAGCTCAGATCACTTCTGGCTTTTTGGTGTTTAATTGGAGATAAGGATCTCATGGACTCTTCTGCCTAGGTTGGCTTGAACTGTGATCCTCAGATCACAGTTTCCCGAATAGCTAATATTACAGGCATGAGCACTGGTACCCGGCTGAGTGTTTTGCACATTGACTCTCCAAATGGAGCTTCCAAAATTGTTTGTTTGTTTTTTCATTAGTCTTCCTGTGCAGCCCTAGGTAGAATCCTAAGAGTGGAATTACAGGAAGTTACATCCGGGGCCTCATGCATTAACAAGTACTCTACCACTACGCCACATTCCCTGCCCTCACACCTCTTTCTTTAATGTTTTCTCATAGACTTTAAACATCTGCTGTGCTAGACATGCTTTCCTCCTGCCTACCTGGAAAGTAAGTCAGGTTCTTATCTGGGATGGGGTGGGAGTGGCTGTGTTCTGGGTTATGCAACACTGCTTGTGAGCCTGGCACATCAGAAGGCTGCTGGGGTTGGTGTCAAGAGTCTCAATAGTTACTGATGCTTATATCCTGAGCAGAGGGCAGAGGGCAAGTTATCTATTTATTTTTTTTGCTTCAGAAAAAAAT